TTATAGAATTTTTCCTCTAATATCAATACATTGGAGTAAATTAGTGGCTTTTTACAATATCAAACCATCTTTATTTTCCTGGAATAAATCTAACTTGGTCATGATTATTTTTTAAAGTTATTTACAATATTTACATTAATGTTCACAGTTGAAATCAATTTAATTTTTAAATACTTTCTGGAAAAATTTATGTAGCATTGGGATTGTTTAGTCTTTGAAGGTTTGATTTAATTTTCCTGTGGAAATGGACCTGATGCTTTTATTTATTTATTTTTTGGCACAACTCTTTGATAACTTTCTCTATTTTTTTTAAATTATTGAGTTTGGTCAATTCAGGTTTCTCTATTTGTGTCAATTTTGGTGGATATAGAAATTATTCATTTTAATATTCAAATTCATACAATTGTGCACTGTAGTCTCGAGATTATTTTGAACTTTTTATTACAAGATAACATAACATTTAAGCCAGCTGCTTGCACTAAAGCACTCAACTTGCTCCGTGGGTTGGGAAGGCCATCACTGTTCCATGGCCTGGCTCCTGGTTCTACTGCTGCTCCTCTGACGGTGTAGCTGTCATCTGGATCCAGGAAGTTCTCTGTGCAAGGACCTCGGGTCCAGAGGACAAACTTCCCTCCTGACTCTTGCTTGTTATTGTGATCCCTCCTCTTGCTTCTCAGAGGGCTCGTTTTATACACAACAGGATGGCAATCCAGGGAATCCTAGTTGAAATTACAGGTGAATCCTATCACTAGCTTCCCCCACCTTCTTACCAGACCCATGCAGGTCGTTTGGTGGGAGGTAGAGACTTACGTTAGAAAAGTCACATGACATAATTCACTGCCCCCGTAGTTTACTTGCTGTTTAAAGAGATGGTTTAAAAGGGATATTATAACTAAATGTCTGAATGGTATTAATTTCAGGAACTCTTTAAAGCCGTCTTTCAGTATCCTGAAGCTGCACAGCTTGAAATGAAGTTACCCTGCTATGGAATCATGTATTTACCAGAGGTCACATTATGAAACCCGTGAGAGCCAGAACACGATGGACTACCTTTTTTCCCTGGCTCTCACAAATTTTACACCTTTGACGTTGTGTTGTCTTACCACTTTGTGTGTTTATTTTCTAACTTTATATTGTAGTTTGGTTCACAGAACAAATTCATTTTCTATTCAATGATGTATACAATTATATTTCACGAGTCACTCAAATCACTGCCACCAAGTTAATGTTGACTCATAGTGACCCTGTAGGGCAGGGTAAAACTACCTTTGTGGGTAAGACTGTAACTCTTCCATAGAGTGGCTAGTGGTTTGAGCTGTTGAGCTTGAAGTTAGTAGCCCAAGGAGTAACCATTAAACCACCAAGGTAATGGCTCTTTTTTCATGACATGAGTTATAATCCATTTAGTGCAACAGTATTTTTCTCACTTCCTCTCTAGATCTCCATTTTCATTTATGATTTATTATTCTCCTTCATGCCTTTTGAGCTTTATTTCTGGGCTAGTTGATTGTATTAAGTACATTGGTTTTATTTATTTTATAGGTATGTATGTCTATTGTTTGGCTAAAAGTTGATCTCTGAGATGAGGTTCAGTACCAGGCTTGATAAGTAATCCAGGGCCACCCTCTTGAGGGCTCTACCAGTCTTTATCGGATCAGTAAGTCTGCTCTCTTCTATGATTTTTGTTTGTTTGTTTCACTCTCTCCACAGCCTCTTTTATCTCATTCAGAGCCTGCTGTAGTGGCAGCCTGGCACCATCCAGTTCTGGTCTCAAGGTAATGGAAGCTATGGCTCAAGTGGTCCCTTATTTCTTTGGACCAGCTGTTTCCTTGAGTCTTTGATTTTCTTCACTGTTTTCCCCCCTTCTGGATGAGGAGGGAGCATCTTAGAGGGCTACTCTAGCTTTTAAGATGCCAGTAGCGATGGAAGACAGTGTTTTTGTGTGTTATATCAGTTGACCTAGATGTCCCAAGACTGAGCCCAAGTCTAGAAACTCATTACCACAAGGTGTTTGGTTTTGACTAAGACATTTTCAAAACTCTGCCCTCCTGTATGCTTTACCACTTTGCTATGTGTCTACTAGTGGAAATGAGGAGTTTTCCTTCTCTGACAGGTTTCTACCTTACATGGGTTCCAGCTGTCAAAAGATATTGTCTTACCTAACTGGTCTTTCTTCTTGCTAGTCTCAGTGACACCTACTTCAAAGAAAGACTGAGCTAGGAAAAGTCCTTCATGACTTATTGCAAAAATATATTTTAAAAAAGAAATGTACTAGTGCAGAGACCATCTTTGTATATCATGCCTTGATATTAGACAAGTTATTGCCCCGCTGATTAGAAAATTGATTTTCATTATTGAATTTATGGTGCGATCTTAAAGTACTCAAAGTACTCAAGTTAGAACTAGATCCTTCTTACTGCTAGCCACAGAATAATTTACATTTCTTAAAATTACTTCTGAATGATACATGTAGGTATAGCATCCTATATGAATATTTTTCTCACTTTTCATGCTTATTAGTAAGTGATGGATTTGTAGCATTCCTTATTTGAATAAAACACCATGTGAATACTATGCCTACACCTATGACATGAACAGTACACTCAGAAACATAAGGCATGCAGTGGCTCTGCTGTCGGCAAAGCATTGAACATGTGCCATGTGTGCTACAAGACCTAAATTCGCTGGGCCTCAGCTTCCAAATTTTAAAAATGTGAATGACAGCTATGACAACATAATGAATCTCAAAGTGATAAAGTGAGCTATCACATAACCGTTGTTGCTTTTGTCCCACTTAGGAAAAGGTGCATTAAGGAGCAGGATATGGAAACCGCTAAATCCCTGTCCTGTCTCTTCCTATAGTTAGAAGATTATTAGGTTATAATTACTTTCTGAGCTAGCTACTGTGCCTATTATACATATATAACATATATTAATATAGGGTGATGTATTAACATTTTAGTAGATATGTTATGCATATTATATATAAAGGATTATATTTAAATATTAGAAAATGTTCTAAAAGCTAAATATTATATGATAGAAAATTCATTTATGTGGACATTTTCTTGTTGCGATGCTTGATGTTACTGTAGTGTGTAGTTGCAGCTTAAATGTTGAACTGCAATCTTTTTTTTCTTTGAGTACCAGGAAGCCCTGGTGGTACACCAGTTAAGGACTGGCGGTCAAACTTGCTCAGGGTTATCTCAGAAGATAGGACTGGTGATCTCCTTCCAAAAGGTCACAATCGTGAGAGTCCTATGCAGCTGTTCAATTGAAACTATCAGTGTCATCTAAAGAAACAAAACCATCGGCACTCATATATATATAAGAAAGAGCTTTGTATCTAGAAGCATCCCAGCCTTGACTAAGTCCAGTCCATTGGTTGATTCCAGCAGGAGCCCTTTCCAGACTTGCATAGCTTCAGGCCAGTGATACAGGAAGGTGCAGTGGGATGCAGGGAAGTCATAGGCTGGTGGATGCAGAATGGTGTGAATCCAAGATTGGTGGGAAGACAGCAGATTGACCGCTCCCAGAGTGGGCAGCCTGCATGTCTCCAGAGGTAGAAGGAAGAGCGAGGGAGGAGGAAAGCAAAGGGCCAGAGGGAGAGTTCTCACTATCACTTTGATAAAGAGACCACACCCACAAGGAGATATCCTTAGGCTGCAGCATCATTGATAGGTTGTCCTCCATCCCTACACTTTCATAGTTTCAAGGTGAGATAAACCCAAGGGGTAGCTGATTATAAGGATCTACATATAACCTCCTCCATGGGGGATGGACAACAGAAAAGTGGGTGAGGGAGACATTGGACAGTGTAAGATATGACAAAATAATTTTTAAATCATCAAGGGTACATGAAGGAGAGAGGAGCAGGGAGGAAGGGGAAAAAATGAGCTGATACCAAGGGCTCAAGTAGACAGCAAATGTTTTGAGAATGATGACGGCAATAAATGTACAAATTTGCTTGACATACAATGGATGGATGTATGGATTGTGATGAGTTGGACAAGCCTCCAATAAAATGATTATAAAAAAACCAAACACCTATTTGCCACACCTTTTTTCCTCGTGAGATAGTGAGAGCATGCATGCAAGCTAGCTGATTCCTGGCATTTTCACAGTTTTGAAGGTTTTTGTTGAAATGATGGGTTTAATTGAATCTATACATTGTTGTTGCTTGCTTTTTCTGATGATTTTGGACCAGATGTGGATGATACTAAAGTTTAAGTGATAACGTTACCAGTTACTGGGCCAGGTAATGATAGTGTTGAGTAAACTTGGTACTTGAAATGTTGCCATTATGTGTCAGTCACAAATGAGAAAGGCAATCTTAACCATTGTGTCCATCTACTTGTGGGGAATGCTTGATTGGCCTTGTTAGCACTTAAAATACGGTGCTTGAACTTTGATAGGCAGAAATGATTGTGAGTGTGAGAGGAACATTATTGGTTCAAAATAATAAGAAAAAGATACATAAAAAACAAATAGTCATCTTTTCTTCACTGTTAATATTTGCTTTTTACTACTACCCCTTCCCACCTACTTGTTATTTTACCTGCTGAGCGCAAGCACAGGTCTGCTTTACCTGAACAGGGTCACATATATTGGCCTAGCTATCTCTCTTTAAAACTTCTGTCTTGTAACATACTATGTGTGTTTTGGTATTTGAAAATGTTTCTAATAGGTACATGTTATATAGATTTGCCCCTCATTATGAATTTTAGTGATAAGGATCCCCACTAAGGGTGTATCTTGAAGGCAAGCCATTATCTAAGGGTTTGGGATTTATTAGATTCCAAACTTGAGTCTTGGCTTTGTTATTTCTTCTTCTATAACTTTGGGCAGGTTCCTCAAACTCTTAGTTGTTCTATTATGTTAGATAAAGACAGCCATTTCAATAGAGTTGTTGAATAAGTGATATATCTCATATCTAGCCTAATGATTTTAAGAAATTTTTTAAGGAGGTGGCATATTGAAATGTCAATATTTCCCCCTAGGTAACAGACAAGAGAGTGTCCAGAAGGCATGCCGTTCTTGAGGTGGTGGGTGGTCAGCTTCGAATCAAACCGGTAAATACATTAATTAATTTTTATATATCTTACTCTCTTTGGCTTCTGGTTAGACGTGCCCTTTTCTAAGGCAGTGGTACTTGGGAATTCGTGTCACCATAGAACCTTCTCATTCTGGAAGATATAGAATATAGACTAAATAAATGATGTGTTTTCCCAGGGCACTGCTACATGTCTGTGGTTATAACAGGATATTACAAAAACGATTCTATAAAAAGTTCATAATTATTACATGATTGGGGGTGGGATGTAGGGGCCAAAGTATTAAACGATTGAGTGTTAACAAATTTCTGTATTTATGTGGGTAGATTGCATATTTCTAAAATTTAGAACTTGTTGAACTTAGGATTTTAGAAATAATTTTAATTTTAACATTTCTGTTAAGACTGGAACTTAAAATACTTGCTTTCTAGTGTAAGTACTATGTGATTATTCTTTTCCTTTTACATTATCTGTTGTGTAAAAGAATGAAATATATGTACGAATATGAGGACTCATTTGTTTTGGACTAGATGCTGATGGTAAAATTGTTATCCTGCAACCAATTCACTAATGTGTATAGCATTCTTGCCCCCATTAGTATTTCAGTCAGATACGTTGTGTTCAGGTGCTGTGAAGTCTGCTCTGCCTCAGTGGCCCTGTGTACACCAGAATGTAGCTCTGCTTGGTCCTGCTGGGCCAAATTTGTTGTACTGGCTGAGCCCATTGTTGCAGCCACTTTGTCAGTCCATCTTGGTGAGCCTCACAGCAACATACAGACCACCACAGTACAGCAAACTTACATAGAAGTGGTGGAATCCTATGTGTACTAGTTCTTTATTTTGTACTACTTCCTTTGACTGTTCTATGCTGAATCGTTCCTAAATTTGACAAGAATCCTTTTAATTCTAGTGTTGGAAACATTTTTTTAAAAGCTGAATTTATCCCATTTCAACTTATTTTTAAAAAATATTTCAGCCTCGTCTTCTCATTCTGCAAGTACCTTCATGTTTTGAAAATAATATTTGTAGGCAGCACTCCTTTATTTATCTCTGGTTCCTCTCCAGTGGCCGCGTTCTTCTGGGACGAGACCTGGCGATCATACACTCCATGAGCACAGAAACTCTGACCAACTTAATCTGCATCCCTAATATCTAATGTGATGCCCAAACCAAGACTCAAACCAAATTAACTGCCTTTGAGTAGATTCCGACTCATGACGACCCTATAGAACAGGGTCGAGCTGCCCCTGTGGTTTTCTGCCACTAACCGTTTTTGGAGTAGCAAGCCTCATCATTCTCCCTTAGAATGGCTGGTAGTTTTGAATTGCTGACCATGTGGTTAGCAGTGCAACATGTAACTCACTGGGCCACCATGTCTGAATAAATGCGACAGTGAGTACTGTACAAGACATTTTTTTTAGGGTTGATGACAGTTAACGGTCCTGTGTCAACTTGGGTCAGCATGTTGTTCAGCACTTGGACCAGTATTGTGTAATCATCCTCCATTTGGTGATTTGACATGAGCTGCCAGTCCACTGAAAGGGGAGTTTCTTAGGGGTTGTGGTCTGTATCCAAGGCTCACTTTCACTTTCTTCTTTTAAAATCATTTTATTGGGGGCTCATACAACTCTTATCACAATCCATACATACATCAGTTGTATAAAGCACATTTGTACATTCGTTACCCTCATCATTCTCAAAACATTTGCTCTCCACGTAAGCCCCTTGCATCAGCTCCTCATTTTCCCCTCCCTCCCCGCTCCCCCCTCCCTCGTGAACCCTTGATAATTTATAAATTATTATTTTGTCATATCTTATACTCACTTTCTTCTTGATCCAGTCTGCTTATCATTCTCTGACTTTTGGTATTTGGGATGAGCCAGCAGCCTGCCACCTGCTCTGCAGATTTTAGATGTTTTTAACTCCCACAATTACAGAAGCTAGCCACCAGCAGTCTCTACTGCCTGAGCCGCAGATTTGTGAGCGGTAAGCCCCTGTTACAGCCCTCATGAGTCAGGAGAAACCTCCAGTGTGCCACTCACCTATGGATTTTGGACTTACTAGCATGCCACTGACCTATGGATTTTGGATTTGCCAGCCTCCACAATTGTATGAGCCATTTCCCTGAAATAAATCTCTCTGTACATATTTAGCTCTGGTGGCATGGTAGGTTACAAGCTGAGCTGCTAACTGCACAGTCAGCCATTCAAAACCACCAGCCACTTCAAAGGAGAAAGACTAGGCTTTCTATCCTGTCCTACAGGGGCCCTATGAGCCAGCATCAGCTTGATGGCAGTGAGTTTGGTATGTTGGTCTGCTTCACAGGGTTTGCTCCTCTAAGAGAACTCCCATCTAACACAGGGGCATTTTGGAGTGTTGAAAATTACGTAATTTTTCAGTACTCAGTTTCTTAACATCTTTGCAATGAACCAACATGGCGTAAAATAAAGAAGTCTGAAGTTTTGGTTGTTTCGTGTTAAGAAACTGACATTAGAGAAAGAATATCTTTCACTCACTGCCATTGAGTTGATTCAGACTAATAGTAACTCTGTGGGGTAGAACTATCCTGTGGATTTCTGAGGCTAACTGATTATGGGAGTAGGAAACCTCATCATTCTTCCTTAGAATGGTTGGTGGTTTCGAACTGCTGAGCCTGCAGTTAGTAGCCCCATGCCACTATACCACCAGGCCGTGAGAAAGAATATAGAGACATCCAAATTCCTCTTCTGTCTTTTCTGATTAATTTTAAGAACTTCCAGAACTGACATCAGTAAGGAAAGAGCAATTTTTCCAATAACTGGTATTGGCACGATTGGTTATTTGTTCAGGAAAAAAATAAACTAGACCTCTCTCTCGAGCCATGCCCCAAATCAATCTCAGGTAGATTAAATGTAAAAGCTGAAACTGTAAAACTATTGGAAAATAATGTACTAAAAAAACTTTATGAACTTAGGGCAGGAGGGAAGGGTTTTTGAACGACACACAAAAGCAGAAATGCTTTAGGGTTAGAATGGTAGTAAATAATGGTAGTACATAATGGTATAATGTACTTTAAGAACTCAACACATATCTAAGCATGTTAATCAATTGAATTGTGAACAACTGGATTTTTTTCTTTACCCCCTTATTGACTCAGTGCTGAAAAGATGCCATCCTAATGATAAAATTTACATAGCATTACATTTTTATATATGAAAAATACATTTAAGAACCCATAATTTATACTAATGTATGAATATTTTAAAACCTCATTTACATTCTTTTTCATGGTTAATCAAGGACATTTATACTTTAAAGATGAGGATGCTTTTCAAATTGAATAAAGGCATTTAGAGTATTCAGATTTTTTTCCAACTTCTGTGGCTATTCAAATGAGTACTACTAATCTAAAATAAGTAGAGCTACACTAAAGTTTACTTTATTAATGGAAAATTGTTTTTAGTTAGACTTATGCATTATGCGGTGGGTCCATTTCCTGTGTGAGACTTTAGAAATGGTATACCAGTCTTAAACACACCAATGAATCTGGTCTTTTTTGATTCATTTGAAATTTGTTCTACCATTTTTCCCACTCTATCATGTACCTTTTATTATCCCAATCAAAGTAGATTTGGGTGATAGCTGGACACCATATGGTTCTTGTCTCTGGTTCTGTGGTTCATGTGGGTAAGTCTAGTTGGGTTTCAAGTCTTTGGATCATCTCTTAAAGAGGGAGGCTTCTTTAGGGGCACATGAAACCAGCATCAGCAGGGACACCCCAGGTAGCAGAGGTGAATGAATCAAAGGTCGGCAGTTTAGGCTTGTGACTGGAGGCAACAGAATCCATGGTTGACAGGTCAGATGGCAGGCCACTGGCGCTGCCAAGGTCAGCAGGCAGTATGGAAAGCCATCTGCTCAAGTCCCAAAGAACCGAGGTGCAGGATCCAGATCCAGCAAAAAGCAAGTAAGACTTCCAACCGTGTCTGCTGAGGTATAGGAAGTAGGCCACAGCCCCGAGGAAACTTCCCCTCATTTGCATCTGGACTGTGAGCTGAGTAAGGGGGCTGCACTCAGATCAAACCTCACAGCTACTTGGTAGCTCACAGCAGATCCCCGCGTAGAGTTGATTCCATTATGAAGGTTGAAGTTTCTGATCTGTATTTCTACTTTTCTTCTTCTGGAGTACAAACCGACCATCTTGAAAAAAGTAGCAGTGAAATTATGGCAGTTACCAAATTGTTCTCAGGAATGTCTGCCTTTTCTGTACTATTTTGCCTTAAAAAAAAAGACTGTCGTTTTCAGCAGTTCATGAGGAGATGATGTTAGATTTTTTTATATCATTTAATTGAATCCACAGTTTTGTATCAGCGGGAGAAAGTGCATCATAAAAGCAAACTGTTGATGTTCTTTGCAAATGACTCTATCACCAGTGGTTGGTTATATCCTCAGGGGCATCCATAGCTGCCAGTGCTTTTATTTCATTTTAATAAAATATTACTCCTTTTAGTTCTTGGATGATTCAAGTAATAGATTTTAAACTGTATACATAATTCAAAAGATCTTTTTGGGGCTATTGGTACATTAAAGTATACATCTTTGAGTGAATTTTACTCTTTAGAAATTCTTGAGTTACGTTTTTTTCTTCCATGAAATTACATGTATACTTGTAAACTATCTCTAAAATACTATAATAACCTTTCCTTAATTCACTCCTTTTTATAAAGAAATGCTTTCAAAGTTAAAAAAAAAGACTGAAAACAAGGAAGAGCCTTTTTTGGGTATATGTCAATTGTACTTTAATATTTAATGATACTCCAAAAAAAGTCATTGAGAATTGATCTGTGTCTTAGCTCCACTTCTTCAGGAATAATGTGTTCTCGCCTTTGTACCACTTCTAAAGCTACAGTTTATCTGTTTACATTCACATTTATGATCACAGGGACATGTATGTACGAGGCATGCACCAAAAGTATATGTTGTCTTAAACAGGAAGCTTATTCACTTATTTGTTGTGGGTTGGGGTTAGCCAGTCTTTTGTCTGCTCTTGCCTGCTCTTAGAATCAAAATTCAGCTAATCTGACTGGAGGAATCTGGGAGCTTTCCCTCCTTTTTCCTGTCTATGGCAGAGTGAATATTCAGAAAAATCTTTATGTGTCCTTGGAAATGACACGGGAAGGAGTTGGGGAGATTTTAAATTATTGTTTTTTTAAACTTATAGGTTGAATCAAGTTCTCTTATTTCTTATAATTAAAAACTATTTAAACTAGCCAAACCCACACACACAAAATCCCCGTCCCTTATATTTATGCTTCAGTTTGGTGTTTATGCTTTAGGAAAGTTGGCCATGTTTTTTTTTTTGTGAAAGTTGGCCATGTTGCCCAGGTTTAAGGTTCCTGGATGGCACACACAGGTAAGCACTTGGCTGCTAATGGAAAGCTGCCTGTTCAAAGGTACCCGGAGGTGTCTCAGAAGAAAGGACTAGAAGTCTGCTTTCCAAAGGTCACAGTCATGGAAACTGTGGGGCAGCACATAGTGGTCACTGTAAGTCAGAAACAAGTCCACAACAACTGGATTTTGGTTCTGTCTATATTTACAAATACATTAGTGTGCTTACACTATTCTCTCCTGATTTTTAAAATTTTTTTTAATTGTACAGTCGATTATGGCAGGTATATTTAGGTTAAAATGTAATGCCATATCATTAGAACTCCCTTTGGACCCATTTAAATGGTTTTAATATTTTCTACACTCTTTTTGATTAAAATTTGTCCTTGTTTTGTCTCATCATTGTTGTTGGGTGCTTTTGTTTGTTTGTTTGCCTCCTGTTTATGTTTTGTGTGATTTTCTGCATATGAAATCTAGGACAGGTAAATCTATAGAGACAATAACTAGATTGATAATTGTCTAGGGACATTGCAGGGGAGGATGGGGGAAAGGGAGAGTTAGCAACAATGAGTATGAGGATAAAGTCTTCTGAAATTGATTGTGATGATGACTACACAACTCTTAATGTGATTGATACGTGAAGTATGTGACAATGCAATTATTTTAAAAATATGTAATTAAAACCTGAACTCCAAAACTGAAAAGTAAATTAAAAAAGAAAAAGAGAGGTTTCCTTTTGAGGTGATGAACATTTCTCAAAATGGACTGCAGTGAGAGTTGTACATGTCTGTTACTTTACTAAAGATCATTGAATTGTATAATTTTAATGGGTTAATTATAGGGTTTATGGATTATATTCCAATAAAGCTGGGTGGTTGTTATTGGCAAGTGTCTGTTAAGAATATTTTACCACAATAAAGTACCAAATAATTAGCATTATGATTTTATGATACTGATACATTGACATTAGTATTTGCCATAAGGGTAGCATATGGTTAATTTTCACAAATTCTTACTGTTAGCTTGAAAAGAATATGTATATTCTTTATTTATAGATTAGACTGGTCAGTTATTTTCATATATTCTATAGATCTACTTATTTTTGTTTGTTAAATCTAAATTAAAAAAAATTCAATTAAGTTTGTTTTTCCCCCTGACACATTTAGCTCATTCATATTTGTGTAGTCTATATTTCTGATATATTTGAAATTTTTTCTAGTCATTTTACACTTTTAATTTTTGTCCATCATTTCTTTCAAATTCTTTCTCTCTTCCATTTATGCTAAAGAAGGAGCCCTGGTAGCATGGTGGGTTATGAGTTCACTGCTAACCACAGGGTCAGCAGTTTGAAGCCACCAGCCACTCTATGGAAGAAAGAAGAGGCTTTCTACTCATAGGGTCACTATGAGTCAGAATTGATTTGATGGCAGTGAGTTTGGTTTTTTTGGTTTGGGTTATTTTAAAGGTTACCGTTAAGTTTTTAACATGCGTATGCAAAATTTTCTTTTAGCTTCCTCCTGAAAAATATAAGGACTAAGCTATTTGACCTTGATGTTATATGTTATCTTGTTCTTATTTTTAATTTGATCTTCTTTGTTCCCCACAAATTCGTCATTATTAATAGAGCTTCATAGTGTCAATATTTGTGTGTATTTACCACCTACTTACCATTTTCTTGACTCAGTGTTTTGAGTGCCTTCTTAAGCTTATCTTCTTAGTTAATTTTCTTATTTCTGAGCTAGATCATTTAGAAAATTCTCTTGTGAGCATCTTTTGATGAAATGCCCTTTTTTGTTTTCTGAATGTGATTTTCCCCCCATCCTTTCTCCTAAATGACAGTTTAGTCATGAGTAGAATTCTATTTAGGTATTTACTGTTGACAAGTTGAAGATATTTTATCATCTGCAGGCATCTATTTTGCTGTTGCAAAATCAAGGTAACTGTTAGTCTGTTGAAGTCTATGTAAATAATGCATTCTTTTCCTTCTGTGGCTGCTATTAGCTCTTCTCTTGTATTTGTTGTGCTGCATTTTTCATGTAGAATTCTTTCACTTTTTTCTCTCAGAATCTACAGATTTACTTAATCTTAACTGTTTCCATTTGAATATTGACTATTCAAATTTTCTTATGAATAACTGACCTTCCCAATGATATATCTTTTCCTTTAACTCAAATTAGACGTTACCAAGGACAGACTTACCTAACCTGATTTAAGAAGCACATCTCAGGCCTGAAGAGTACCGAAGGGCCATAGTCCCAGGGATTCCACGACTCTATTTGACAAGTGAATCTGTCTTTTTGTGATTTTAAGCTTGTTCAGCATTTCCCTCTTGCTCTCTCTAGGACCTTAATCCTAGATTCTGGATTCTGTCTATCTAGGGTTCTAATGTGATCTCTCGCAGAGCGGCTGGCAGTGTTAGTGGTTCTTCAGTCTCTGGGTGGTCAGAGACTATTGTTTCCAAGCATCTTCAGTTTCTTTAACTCTTCTTTCCTCCCTAGAGGGGGAGATCAGTAGTTTCATTTTAGCTATTTATGAGCTTTTAAGCTGCTACTCATCCATGTAGGATATAGTATATTTTCTTTGTAGCTGTATTATAGCACTTGACCTAGTTGCCCCCTGAGATCATGCACTTGAGCCCCAGGCCCAATGACTCATTCTGAGGATTATTTTTTATGTTTCTTTTTCCTATGTTCAGTGTTTCTCTTAAATAAGATGGAAGAAAGGACCATTTAACCATTTAATTAATAAGTTTGTTTTTCCTTTGATTCTTAGAAAAATAAGAGAGCTAGGATAACCTTTAAGCCTAAATATGTATACTTTATATACTCAATTATAAGCTGACCTGAATATCAGCCAAGGCACCTAATTTTACCACAAATGTGCTGAAAAACTTGGCTTATACACGAGTATATACGGTAAATTGTTTCGCTACAAACATTTTGGATTAGTTTTATTTAGTTGTATTTTTGTCCTAATTATGCATTACTGCCTTATCTTCTCTTTTTAATTTGGTAGATACACACAAATCCATGTTTTTATCAGTCTTCTGGGATGACCCAACTATCACCAATGAAGATGAATATATGGCGTTGGCTGAATTCTGGAGATAGTTTTTCTTTGTTAGTTGACAAATACATTTTTCGTGTTTTTTCTGTACACTCGGAGACAGAATTGGAATGTACTTTAAGGTAAGATTAGATGATGAAATGAGAGTAAGTAACAGCATTTGGAATAAGATTCCTCTGTCTTTTATACCTGCTTTGGTACAAAACAATCTAGGATGAAACTGTATTAGAGATATAGCCACTGTAAGATTCTTTATATGTGTTTATAGGCACATTTGTTTCTAGAAAACATTGATTTTAGAAACTTATTATGCTTCTATCGTGATATCTCCCATATGTGGTATGTTTTACCATTGTGTTTTGACAATACATTTTCCACTTAATAGTATTGAACACACACACACACACAAAACAAACCCCATTGCCATCAAGTTGATTCTTCGTCATAGTGACCTTGTTTTGGAAGACTAGAACTGCGTTGGAAGACTAGTAGGGCTTCTGAGACTGTAAGTCTGTAAGTACGGACAGCTTCAATTTTCCTTCCAGGGAGTGGCTGGCTGGTGGATTTGAGCTGCCACGGCTCTGACTTAAGCTATATTTCCTAACTCCTCTTTCTTATAAAAATGACAGAAAGTGTAAAATAAGGAAATTGAGTAAATGAGCCACTAGAACAAACCTATTGGTAATGATGATTCGTCTGTTAATTCTTTCTCTAGATACATTTTTAAGTTAAAATTTTTCATTTAACCAATTCTGGTAACACTATTATAATTCCTGTGATGGTTGTATAAGACTCCTAGGGATATCTATAAGAATCATCTGAGGATTTTGTTGAACCGTAGATTCTGATTCAATGTATCTGGGATGGAAATGCAAATTCTCAGCAAAGAGTGAAACTGGAATGAACCTTTTAAAGCCCTGCTTCATAATGACCAAAAAGTGGAAACCCAAATGCCCATCAACTGAGTAGATAAACAAAATGAGCTGTAGCCAATACATGGATTAGTAACAACATAAAGGAATAAAGTACCGATACATGCTATAATAGGGAAAAGCCTTGAAAACATGCTAAATGAAAGAAGCTGGACTCTTACCACATGTTGTATAACTATATTTATATAAAATGTCTAAATATGTAAATACATTGAAATAAAAATTAGATTAGTGGTTCCTAGAGGTTAAAGAAAAGAGAATGGAGATTGATTTGCAATGCAAAAATTATTTTTCTTAGGTTTTGAAGGTGTTCTAAAATGAGAAAGTAGTGATGTGTGTATGGATATAGTATAACCCAATGAATTGGATGTAGGGTAAATTTCATGATTATGTCAATTATATATAAATAAAATTGTCCGAGTTCAACAATGAAGGATTTAATGATTCTGTATTATACTACTATATTTGGATACAATTCCAAGTTTTAATGGTTTTATTTAGCAAGTTCTGGCTACACTATTATAACTCTTGCAATAGTTGGTTTGTTATAGAAGTACTTGAAGAAAACAACTTTTAAAACATCTATATCGCACTGACAATGTTAGATATTTCACGTATAATAGAATAATATGTACTTTGACCTCTTTGGAATAAGTAAGTATAATTTTGTTTTGGGGTTGGATTTTATGCTGTTACATAGAGAGTATGTGTGTATCAGTTTGAATTCAAGATATAAAATAGGCTGGAAAGGGCATTGAGATTGTTGCTTAATTTCTAATGCTATAAATTGTGAAAAGCCATTGTATTACTCTTGAATATTTCTCAAATTTTTTGACTCATTTTTTTTCTTTTGAGAAAAAATTTGATTTGGAAGGATATTTACATTATATATGAGGGGTGTAGGCCTGGATAGTGTGATGAGAGTGAGATCTCATAGATAGGAGGAGTCCCACATTTCAGTAGTCTATGTCCCCAATGCCTAACATTATTTATTCAAATTAGACATTTTGATTGCACATAGTAATTTAATGTTTACAATTTACCTTCTTTTAGCAGAAATCTGCTATTGCCGTTCAAGTCTGTTTTGTATGTTGTTGTTGTTGTTGTTGTTGTGAGGTGCTGTCAAGTCGTTTTTGCCTGTGTGTGTTTAACAGAATGAAACACTGCTCGGCCTTGCACCTTCCGCACAGCGGTTTCATGTGTGAGCCCGTTGCTGCAGCCATTGTGCCCATCCCCCTTGTTGAAGGTCTTCATTCGCCCCACCCTTCCACTTTACCAAGCGTGATGCCCTTTGCCAAGGAGTGATCTCTCCTGATAACATGCCCTTTCTTCTAAGGAGCATTCTGGCTATACTTCTTCCAAACAGATTTGTTTGTTATTTCTTTGTATAAGAAATGCTAACACAAACTTTCAATTAGATTATTTTCAGCTGAAAATATTTTTTAAATCTTATATTTCCAAATTAAAAAAATTTTTACCCTTATTGAAAAAGAATTTACCTACAGTAAAATAAACTTCCAATTCAATGCACTTTGAAACATATGAGGGGACTTCAAAATGTGTGTGGATTAAAGATAATGGGTTTTTCCCATGAACTTTTAAATTTACCTTTATATATAGTCATGAGACTGCCATTACAATGAGAAAAACACATTTTCATTTCTCCCAAAAGTTCCCTTATGCCTCTGTAGTCAGTCTCCTAACTCCTCTCCTAGTCTGTGGCAAACACTGATTTGATTCTGTATATATCATGGGACTGCTTCAAAATGTCTTATCAATGGGATCATATAATGTGCATCCTTCAGTAGTCTGTCTCTTTTGCTTAAGAGCATCATCCATGCGGTAGTTCCATCCATTGACAGTAGTTCATTCCATTTCATTACTGAATAATATTTCATCTACATGTTCAGATTTCCCAAAAGATACAGTTTTTGGATCATCAACATGAGGAATATATGAGAACTAATAATCCAATAACTTTTGACACTTTTGCTGTACTTCACAGTAATTAATTCTGTTAGTGTTAATTAGTAATGATTACTGATGCCAGTTTGCTCCACATGTGACCTTGAAGCTCCCCTACAAACAGGTAGCTTCCAGTATGACTATAAGATTAGGCAAATGTCACAGGGGCGGGGCTGGTCAAGATCACAGTAGCAGCTCTGTGCGAGCTTCCCCACACTCAGGATTTTCTGTTTTCCAGTAGCCCAATGAGTTTAGTTTATACTCCTGCAGTTTATGTGGTTTTTTTTCCCCCATAAGATACTGGGTGGTGATCTTAACTTTTGTGAAGTAGCTGAACAAATATTGAGTAAGTAAATCGCTCTTAAATCTTTGGTGAGAGATGGTAGCCACCTATCTCATCACAGCTAGAGTTTGTAAGCATATGATTTGAAAAGTTTAATGCATTTTATGGGGATACAGTGAGCAGAAGTTGAACATATTCTAGTCCCAGAAAGCCCTACTCTAGTCTTTCACTTTGCCAACTTGGAGAAAAGGAGCACAGCTCACCAGTCACTGGGAGCTGTTACAGTGGCATGGTCAGGCAGCAAAAACATTTAAAATACAAGTTAAATGATTAATGAAAGAATCTTTATTTTACAGAAACAGTCAAATGCTTGATGAAGGAGAGATATTGGATGAAACATCAAACCCCCCTTCACTGGATTTACCTAAGAAAACTAGTACCCCACGGCTGGAAGAGAGCACCGAAATAGCCAGTATCCCAACTATGACTACAAATAGTGTGGTGAGAAATTTAAGATCTCATCCATTGATAGCATGTTCCTTAAGTTACTTTGAGGAGAGAAGACACAACCAAAGTTAGACATAGTATCATGCAAATAGCTAGCATTAACTTGCATTTTCTTAAGTAAAACCCACTGCCAGCGGCCCTCTAGGATAGAGTAGAACTGCTCTCCTGAGTTTCCAAGACGTTCAGGCTTGACAGGAGCTGATAGTTTCCTCTTTCTTCCACAGAGTGGCTGGTGAGTTTGAACTGCTAACCTTGGGGTTTGCATCTCAACACTCAACCTACTGTGCCATCAGAGCTCTCTTCTTAAGTAAAGCTCTAGAGAATATCATACTTGTTTATACTTTAGTTAATAGAGTTGATATATTTGTTTCTTTAATAAATTTAATCCAATCCACCTTGCAGTTGGATTTTTTCATGGTAATTTTGTGTAAAGGAAATGAGTTTTGAAATCTGTTAATGATAATTGACTATTTTTAGTAATTTACATGTAGGTGCCTTTTTAGTCTGTTGTAGAGAAATGTGGAGACTTTAATCAGCAGCTGTCAAATCTTACCCAAAGGAAAAGAATCCTTCCAGCTTGGATGTTAGCAGATGGTCTAAGTGATCAAAGCCTTTCAGCACCAGTCATCAGTGCAGGTAAGGCTTTGTTTCTGCTGGTGCTATGAATTTCAAGAAAACATTAGACAAAACTTGCAAGTTTTTCCGAACAAATGGAGATAGTCATTGGGTAACTGCATAATTTAGTCTAAGATGATTTTAGATGTGTTCATGAAATTAATTTTTTTAAACACAATCTATTTTAGGATATCCAGGAGCTCTGGTGGCATCATAGTGGATTATGTGTTAGGCTGCTAATTGTAAAGTCAGTTGTTCAAACCTGCCATCCACTTAAAGAAAGACGAGGTTGTCTGCTTCCATAAAGATTTACAGCCTCACAGACCCTACATAGGGTCATTGTGGGTTGGATTTGGCTTGATGGGAGTGAGTGGATAATAAATTACCACGAAGTGGGTGATTGAAAACAACAGAGATTTATTTTCCCACACTTTGGAGGCCAGACGTCTCTTGGGCCTTTTTCCCTGTGCACACTAGAGGAAAGGATCTTTTCTTGTCTCTTCTGTTGTGGTGGTTCTTGGCAGGCCATGGGATTCCTAGGCTTATCACGGCTTCATTCCAGTCCATGCCCCCATTCCACATGGTCTTCTTTCCTGGGTGTATCTCTGTGTGTCCCCTAGCCTTACGAGGATATCAGCAGCTGGTTTCTGGGCCCATTCTAATCCAGTATGACTGCATTTTCACTAATTACTTTCGCAAAGTCTCTATTTCCAAATAAGGTCATATTTTGAAGTTCCAAGTAGACTTAATATAAATTACTAAAGTCTGCAGTGACAGACCCATGGTATTAATACCTATTTTCTAACAAAATATGTTAGTGTCATATTTAAGTTGAAAGGCCACCAGCACAATAAAAGTTTTAAAAAACAATTAAATAACAGGTATGAGGCACACAATGTTATGTGCTGGGGCATTCAAAGAAGATTTGGTCTCCGCCCTACCATAGCTTACAATGATTTATGTCTCCTATAAAGAATCCCATTGTTTCAGGATTTTTAAAATGTTAGCTACTCCAGCTTTTTTAGGCAACATATTACCTATTTATTCCTCATTTACTGACATGATTAAGTTCCAAAGACCAAGTTGTTATGGGAAAATTGGCAGTAAGTGAAAATGGGAGAATGACCACATCAGATCACAAAATGAAAGGTGATTACATCATTACATAGCTGCCAAATTACATCAAGACATAACTGTCAAATTACATTATTACATAACTGCCAAGCCACCGAGAATCATGGCCCAGCCAAGTCGACGCATAATCTTAAGCATTACAGTCAGTGTAACATCTAACATTTTGACTTGGCGTTTAATAGCCGTACATGTAAAAAACAGTTGAGTAGTAGATATTTTACGGTTGCAGTAAATGCAAATGTCAGATAACAAGGTAGTTGATAAGTGAGGAGCAGGTATAATAGAAACGAACTTAAGCTAGTTTAATGAAAGCAGAATTATTGAGCTTCAAAGGGGCTAAGCAATGGACTGCTAACCACAAGATTGGTGGTTCAAACCCATGAGCTACTCCTTGGGATAAAGATGAGGCTATCTGCTCCAGTAAAGATTTACAGCCTCACAAGTGTATAGGGTCACTTTGAGTCAGAATTGACCCAAAGGCAGCGAGTTTGGATTCATTTGGGGGTTTGTGAGCTTCATGAGAGTGACTCTCCAATCCGCCTCACTGTATTCAGTATGATCAGGTCTTAGAGGAAATGGAGCTATCAGGGAGTCCCTCCCTGTTCCCGTCTCTGGATATGGCTTCATTTCTCTCCTGAAAAAGTTGCTGGTTTCTCCTTACCGATGACTGTACAGGTGGTTTTGGCTTGCCTCATTTTGGAGACCAGTGCAACTACTTGAGTTGAGCCATTGTCTCAATTCTCAGTTTGCAGATAATGGAGACTACTTGGCTTAATGTGAGCTAGGTACCACCA